AACAAAGTAAGGCATCCCATGGATACGCAGAATCCCTTGGCTAAGGTCACAAGCGATGTGCTGGATACCATTTTTGGCCAGGAGCCGAGGTTTGTTCGGCTTAAGCGAAAAACCAATTTGTTGAAGGCACAGCTCTTAGCTAAGCGGTTGGCCCCCCGTGAGCGTGCCCTTAGGGATAGCTGGTCCGATGGGATGAAAAAGGTGCTGGGATCAAAGAATCTCATCTTGTGGGAAACTCTTTTGCGCCAAGAGGGCTATGACGATCTTGAGGTAATCCACTTGATGAAGCGCGGTGTCCCTTTGGTCGGAACCCCGGACACGCCCTCATGCTACGAGGCAAAGTTGACGCCGGCTACGATTACAGAGGCCCAGCTTCGTGATTCAGCTAAGTGGCGCAGGAAGGCCCTTGCTTCCAAACCTTTGGCTATGTCCGACGATTGCTTTGGTCCTTTGGAAGATGCATGCCAAGAAGAGCTTGACAAAGGTTCTCTAGAAGGCCCTTTCCACAGCGAGGAAGAAGTCACCCGGTTCTTAGGTCACGATCGCTGGTGTTGCATTCGGCGCTTCATCATCCAACAGGGTGACAAGTATCGGCCGATCGATGATTGTTGCGAGTGTCAGTTGAACGAGGGGTACTCTTCAACTTTCAAGTTACGCTTGCAGGATGCCGATTATTTTGCTTGCCTTGCTATGGACGTGTGCCGAAGGGTGGTTTCCAATCCTTCCCGACAGGACTTGAAAGGATGGAGCGGTAAATGCCTTGACTTGAGCCGTGCATACAAGCAGCTGGCTATCTTACCTGTACATGTGGACTTGGCGGTATGCCTAACCCACACTAAGGAAGGAAAGCCCGTGTATTATGTGCCGAACAGTCTCATGTTTGGATCCAATGCCGCAGTTTACGCCTTTAACCGAGTGAGCAGGAGCATCCATTTTCTCTTGAGTCGACTTTTGATCCTTCCCATGTCTTGCTTCTACGATGATTTCCCTATCCTCATCCCGACTGGCGAGGCTGATGAGGTTGATGGGATGATTTCAGAGTTGCTTGACATTCTGGGTTGGGAGCACAAGCGGACGGGTGAGGGCCACAAAGGTCTCCCATTCGCGAA